ATAGTATGTGGGAGACTCCGCCGGCCGCCCCTGCCACCCCTGTGTCAGTGTGCCTGTGGTAGGAGAGACTGCCAGTGCCTGAGAAGCTGGAGGCAGGTCGCTAGACTGAGATGAGACCGCCAGTGGAGTTGGGAGTCCACTGTGCACCGCGCTGCGACCTGCGAGCCTGTCGTGTCCCTTGTCAGGACGACAGGAGCAGGAGAGCCCCACCTGTGCCCCTGATCGTCCTTCCAAAATCCTGCTCGTGCAGGTGTGGACCCTGTCCTCCTCCCATCCCTCGTTTGGGTTTGTCTGTTTTCTTCCCCCACTTTCACCCCACATAGGCCTAGAGCATACCTGGGGTCCTGGGCACCCCCGCCTCGCTCGAGAAGAATACATGTTGATACTAACTAAGGCCAGGTTCCAGATGGCCGGCATCCACAGCATTCGATTCTGCGCTGACTGAAAGAAAGCGGAAAGAAAACAGACAACCAAGGGGAGGGATGGGAGGACGGCACGCCGCCACCACACAGGGATTTTAAGGAGAGGGGTGTGATGCGCTAGCCGTCGCCCACCCTTGGGCGTCCGCCTCTTCCTATCTCTCCTCGCAGTCTCTCGCCGTGGACTCTCGCTGCAACCTTCATGCCACCCCGCGGTCGTCCCACTCTCGTCGTTCTCCCTCCTGTCGCTTCATCCTCTGTCGCGTCGCTCTCCTCTGCCTCGTCCTGCGGCGGTGCCGCCGCCTGCCGCTCCCTTGCTCTCGCTGCTCGTCGCAGCTCTGCCCTCCTCGCAGCATATTTTGGCCCCTCGAGTTTATCGAGCTCTCCTCGCGCAAGGACGACTCTTCTGACGCCCACTGCGATCATTTGCCGCCAAGTCATATCGTTGCTCAGGTCCACTCTCTCTTCGGACACTTGTACCTCCACCGATGATGTTGGCGCTGGGGTCCCCTTCGGGTGCATCGTGACAGCTGACGACGGGATTACCACAGCGCACGGGTGTTTCGTCCTCCTCGGGGTCGTCTTCCCCGGCTTCCCGGACTCGGGGCCGGTGCTTCGACGCAGCACAGTGTGCTTCGTGGTAGCATGAACTCAGAACGGCCCCCCGAGAGCGCCTCTTCGACGCCCACAGGTCCCGGGGGGTCGGAGGGGTTGCGAGAGGGCCCCGGCTATTTTTGTTTGAATCCCGGAGGCCGTTCGAACATGAATTGACGTTCCACGTGCCCGTCCCCAGCAAGGACAACATGCTAGCCCAGCAGGCCGCTCCCACCGCCGCCCGCGGCGGAGGCAAGGCGGCAAAGGGTGGCAAGGGCGGCGGCAAGGGCGGTGGCAAGGGTGGTGGCCGTGGCGCACCAGACCCGCTTTGCGCCGCCGCCCTCAACGCCCGATATACTCGGTTAGAGCCGGCGGAGCGACGGCGGCAGAGGTGCGGCCGCCGGCGACCTCACACGGTGTCGAGCGCCGTAGAGACGGCCTCGAGAGCCGCCACCAGGTGTGCCACGACCGCGGCCGCGAGGCTCGTGGCGATGGATGCGCCAGACCCGCTTTGCGCCGCCGCCCTCAACGCCCGATACTCGATCAGAGCCGGCGGAGCGACGGCGGCGGAGACACGGAGTTGCGGCCGCCGGCGACCTCACACGGCGTCGAGCGCCGTAGAGACGGCCCCGAGAGCCGCCGCCAGGTGTGCCACGACCGCGGTTGCGAGGCTCGTGGCGATGGATGCGCCAGACCCGCTATGCGCCGCCGCCCTCAACGCCCGATACTCGGTCAGAGCCGGCGGAGCGACGGCGGCAGAGTTGCGGCCGCCGGCGACCTTCCCCTCGACCACGCCGCCGACCCGTCGACAAGCACGTGCGGACTGCCATCGAGAAGAAGGAGAAGGAGCGCGGCGCATCCGGAGCCCGCGGGCGCGGCGTGGGCGGGCGCGGGCGCGGGCGGGTGCGCGGGAACCCCGCCAGCGGAGGCGACACAATGCCTCTGGCGGCTCTGCAGGCGGCGCGCGGCGCGCCCCTCGCCGGTCTCCCGCACGCTCCTGAGGGCCGAGAGGGCCGAGAGGCGGGGTTGGTGACCCGGGGGCATGGGCGATGCGGCCCGCGCCGCGCGCGGGCGCGTGGCAGCCCGTGAGTGCCGAGATCGGGTCTGTGCTTCGACGTAGCATGGGCCCCCGGAGGCCCATCTACAGCAGCGGCGAAGTGAGCGTGTTTGTGGTGTTGGTGTGACGTCTGAGCTTGGATCTGTGACTAAAGCCGCTTACCACTGATGGATCCCCACCCGAATAACACACAGTGAGCGCCCCAGCACTTCACTACGCCCTCCGCGCGAAATCGCTAGTGGTGCTTTGTGGCAGCACATTGTGCTTTGTGGCAGCACGGGTGCGGTGCCCGAGACCGCTCTCTTTTCTTGACCCTCAATACAGCGGCGTATGAGAAGCAGGCCTGACAATCGGCAAAACCAATGTCTTCTTGCCAACAAAGACCGAAAGAATGCAGGTCGCGATGGAGATTGCTGATTGGGAGAGAGAGATTTTTGAAAACCAACAGGAAATCACGACTCTCACAGTGATTTGGGCTTCTCTCTCCATGTCCATGTCCATGTCCATGTCCATGTCCATGTCCATGTCCATGTCCATGTCCATGTCCATGTCCATGTATGTTGTGTGTGTAGGTTCGTCGATAGAGCAGATCAAGACACAGAGCTCAAACAAAACAACCACACAAAATCACAGCGGGAGGAAAGCGGCGAGTCGCAATTCCAGGGGTCGTTGGGGCGGGCCACCCTGTCCAGAAAGGCACGGGATTGGGGTCTTTCGACCGAGTCTGATTTCGCTGCTCGCCGCCTCCCGATGGTGGTATTCTGGTAAGGCTGGAGAGCCAAACAAAGGGCGGAGATGGCGGGGAGGGCGGGGGATCGAGGAAAGCACGACTCGCACCGACCCTTCACGAACCGAAAGGCTGTACCCGGGGAAGGCACAGTAATCCGGCACGCGTTGGGCGCCCCATTCC